GTGCGCGCCCAGGATCCGAACCCGGGCCGCCAGCAGCGGAGTGCGCGCACTTAACCGCTAAGCCACGGGGCCGGCCCAGGACTTATTTTCAAATTTAACTGGATGTGACAATGGCATGAGGTGAAGAGATGAAATAATTCTGGCAAAATGCTGAGAATTCTTGAAGATGGGTAATGGGTACATAAGGGCCCGTTACACTATTCTCTTTCTTGTGTGTATGTTTAACATTTTCCAAGGCAAAACTTAAAAAAAAAAAAAAAACATAATATACAATGCCAATTAATGAAATAAAAATCTTTCCACGGGCCAAACAACTGTTAGCATCAGCAAAATTTCACTCATTTATATGGGTTCACCTTCCTAAAACAGCTAGAGAACAAGGAAGCAAACAAAACAAGTGTCTGAACAGGCAAAGATTCCACAAAGTCCATGTACTAGAAGGTCGCCACTGATCACAGCACAACTCAAGTTTCCACTCAGTGCCGGTTCCCCCAGTAAACAAGGGTGGGGAAAGACATCTCAAGCCAGGCATAATGCCACCACGGCAAAGAAAGAATGTGGGAGGTGAGCTGACAAGCTTCCGGATCCAGCCTCCACCACTGCTCTTACTGAACATGGGCAACTCATGACAATGCTCCAACCCATCTTCTTCTTACCTGTAAAATGGTGATAATTCTTTCCAAAGATGGTGTATTGTACATCTAGCAATGGTAAGTGCTCAGTAATCAGAGGATATTATTTTAATCGATGGAAGAGGCAGAAACAATATAGCAGCAGATGTGTATATATTTTAAAACAGGACTCTGAGTCATCTAGCCCCATGCTTAGGAAGCTGCTGAAGGCATCAGCACTGATATACCAACACAATAAACTAACCCAGCTAGTGAAAACACTCTAGGGTTTCTGGAGCTAAGACTGATTCCCAGATGTGACTCAAACCGCTATGAGCAAGTGATGACATGGCTGGAATGAGGAGGATGAATTCAGATTGTTCTTATTAAATTGATCTTATAAAGTTTATAGTTACACTTTTTTTTTTCAGCGTTGAGAAACTTTGCAGAAGATTGCTGCTTCTTTAAAAGAAAAGATAAATCTCTTATTTTCCGGTCTGCATACACCCTTGAAATTCCACGTGTTTCTCTTTAATATTTATCTCCAAGAGCAATGAGATGGCAAACCAGAAGAACCCAAATATCTTCAAACAATTTCAACATAACTCAAAAACTATTTCAGTGATGTCTGTGTGAGTCACAATGCTGGCTTCCATGACAGTCACCAAATAGACTGGATAGGCAGCCTTGTGGGGCAGACAGACATAGCAAATAGTAACAGCATATTATGAAATGGTGCCCGAGTCTCAAAGAGAGGACAGTCAAGGAAAATTTTATGTAATGAGTGAGTTTTGAGCTGGATCTGGAAATATGAACTCACCAGATGGAAGGAGGGAAAGGGCTTCCTATCATGTTCAAACTCAGAGGCATAAAAAAGTATGGCATGCTTGAGGAAGATAAATTCATCGTGGCAGAAGCGTAAGGTGTAAAAGTAGGGGGTGAATAGTATGGAAAGTTAACTTGGGATTCATCATTACAAAAGGTCTTATATGTCAGCCTAAGGAGTCTGGACTACAGGCAGGGAGACCTACTGAGATTTTTTTTATCTTTTTTTTTTACCTTTTTTTTTTTGCGAGGAAGATCAGCCCTGAGCTAACATCCATGCCAATCCTCCTCTTTTTGCTGAGGAAGACTGGCCCTGAGCTAACATCTGTGCCGATCTTCCTCCACTTTATGTGGGACACCGCCACAGCATGGCCTGACAAGCGGTGCATTGGTGCGTGCCTGGGATCCGAACCTGGCCGCCAGCAGCAGAGCGCACGCACTTAACCACTATGCCACAGGGCCGGGCCCCCTACTGAGATTTTTAGATAGGAGAATGACAGGATCGATTTCCCTTTAAAGACTTTATTTTTTTATTTATTTTTTTGAGGACGATTGGCCCTGTGCTAACATCTGTTGCCAATCTTCCTCTTTTTCTCTTTTTTTTCCTCCTCAAAGCCCCAGTACATAGTTGTGTATCATAGTTGCAGAGTTGTAGCTCTTCTATGCGGGACACCGCCTCAACATGGCTTCATGAGCGGTGAGTAGGTCTGCACCCAGGATCCGAACTGGCGAACGCTGGGCCGCCAAAGGGGAACACTGGGTGCACCACTGGGCCAGCACCAGAAGACTTTATTTTTTTAAAGCAGTTTTAGGTTTACAACGAAATTGACAGGGAGGTACAGAGATTTCCCTGCCCCCACACATGCACAGCCTCCCCCACTATCAGTATCACTCACCAGAATGCTACATTTGTTACCAACGATGAACCTACATTGACACCTCATAATCACCCAAAGTCCACAGTTTACCTTAGGGTTCACTCTTGGTGTTCAATTTGTTTTTTAAAGACATCTTGAGTGGCATGTGTAGGATAGTCTAAAGGTAGGAAGACCAGTTAGGAAGCCTCTACAATAGTTCCAGGAGAAGATGTTGAGAAGCTGAACTAAAGCATTTGGCAATGGAAAAAACAGAATCTGGAGCTATTAAGGCTGAATCAACAGGAATGAAAGGGAGGGTGTCATCTGAAGAAAAAGGGAGATGGTAAAATGATGAGTTTAATTTTAATTTAAACATTGAGCTTGAGGTATCTGTGGTTCATTCATTTATTCAACTGAGACCTCCTCTGTGCCACACATCGGCATAGGAATAAAAATACATCAATAGGGTAGCAGTTAAGTGTGTGCGCTCTGCTGCTGGCGGCCCGGGTTCGGATCCCGGGTGCGCACCGACGCACCGCTTCTCCAGCCATGCTGAGGCCGCGTCCCACATACAGCAACTACAAGGATGTGCAGCTATGACATACAAGTATCTACTGGGGCTTTGGGAGGGAAAATAAATAAAATCTTTAAAAAAAATACATCAATGAACCAAACAAAGTCCCTACACTCATAGGGGTTACATTCAAGTTAAGGAAGACAGACAAATATGTAATATGATGCCAGGTAGTGACGAGTGCTACTAAGGAAAATACAGCCTGACTGGGGAAGAGAACAGTAATCTGGATGCTGCAGGGAAAGACCTCTCTGTTGAGGTGACATTTGAGAGCAGGAAGAAATGAAGGAGTGAGCCATCTGAATATCTGGGTGAAGAACATTCTAGGGTGAGGGAACACAAGATACAAAGGCTCTGAGTAGGAGCCTGCTTAGTATATATGAGAAAAAGCAAGAATGGCAGTGTGCTTTGAAGGCAACAACTGAGGGAGAGGGTGTTAGGATATGAAGTTGGGAGGAAGAAAGGACCAGATAATGGACCATTTGTAGACCACAATAAGGACTCTGTATTTTACTCTAGATGTAAGAGGAAGCCTCTGCAGATGTGATTGATACCTGAAAAGTATCATTCTGGCTGGTATAAAGGATAAAGGGAAGGGTGGAGGCGGGCA